GGAGCAGTGAACTGGCCACTGATGGAGCAGGGCACTGGCCACTGATGTAGCAGGGCACTGGCCACTGATGGAGCAGTGCACTGGCCACTGATGGAGCAGGGCACTGGCCACTAATGGAGCAGTGCACTGGCCACTGAAGGAGCAGGGCACTGGCCACTGATGGAGTGTGGTGGTGTGATTAATTGATTGAACTATCCCTCTAGTGGTGGAGCAGTGCAGAGTGTGGTGGTGTGATTAATTGATTGATCAATCAATCACATTTTATTTATAAAGCCCTTTTTACATCAGCAGATGTCCTCTACTGGCTGTACTGGGTAGAGAGGAACCAGGCTCTGAGGGGTGGCCAGTCCTCTACTGGCTGTACTGGGTAGAGAGGAACCAGGCTCTGAGGGGTGGCCAGTCCTCTACTGGCTGTACTGGGTAGAGAGGAACCAGGCTCTGAGGGGTGGCCAGTCCTCTACTGGCTGTACTGGGTAGACCAGAGGAACCAGGCTCTGAGGGGTGGCCAGTCCTCTACTGGCTGTACTGGGTAGACCAGAGGAACCAGGCTCTGAGGGGTGGCCAGTCCTCTTCTGGCTGTACTGGGTAGACCAGAGGAACCAGGCTCTGAGGGGTGGCCAGTCCCCTTCTGGCTGTGCTGGGTAGAGAGGAACCAGGCTCTGAGGGGAAAAACTCCCTAGAAAGGCAGAAACCTAGGAAGAAACCTAGAGAGGAACCAGGCTCTGAGGGGTGGCCAGTCCTCTACTGGCTGTACTGGGTAGAGAGGAACCAGGCTCTGAGGGGTGGCCAGTCCTCTACTGGCTGTACCGGGTAGAGAGGAACCAGGCTCTGAGGGGTGGCCAGTCCTCTACTGGCTGTACCGGGTAGAGAGGAACCAGGCTCTGAGGGGTGGCCAGTCCCCTTCTGGCTGTACTGGGTAGAGAGGAACCAGGCTCTGAGGGGTGGCCAGTCCTCTTCTGGCTGTGCCGGGTGGAGATTATAACAGTACATGTCCATTAAGGCCAGATTGTTCTCCAAGATGTTCAAACGTTCATAGATGACGAGCAGGGTTAAACAATAATCACAGTGGTTGTAGAGGTTGCAACAGGTCAGTACCTCAGGAGTAAATGTCACTTGGCTTTTCATAGATGGGCATTTAGAGGTTGAAATAGCAGGTGCGGTAGAGAGAGAGAGTTGAAAACAGCAGGTCTGGGACAAGGTAGCACGTCCGGTGAACAGGTCAGGGTTCCATAGCCGCAGGCAGAACAGTTGAAACTGGAGCAGCAGCACGACCAGGTGGACTGGGGACGGCCAGGAGTCATCAGGCCAGGTAGTCCTGAGGCATGGTCCCAGGGCTCAGGTCCTCCGGGATGGGAGGGAGAGAGAGAGAATTAGAGGGAGCATACTTAAATTCACACAGGACACCGGATAAGACAGGAGAATAACACCAGATATAACAGACTGACCCTAGCCCCCCGGCACATAGACTATTGCAGCATAGATACTGGAGGCTGAGACAGGGGGGGTCGGGAGACACTGTGGCCCCATCCGATGATACCCCCGGACAGGGCCAACCAGGCAGGATATAACCCCACCCACGTTGCCAAAGCACAGCCCCCACACCATCAGAGGGATATCAACAGACCACCAACCTACTACCCTGAGACAAGGCTGAGTATAGCCCACAAAGATCTCCTCCACCGCACGAGCCTGAGGGGGCGACAAACCGGACAGGAAGATCACGTCAGTGACTCAACCCACTCAAGTGCCGCACCCCTCCTAGGGACGGCATGGAAAGCACCAGTAAACCAGTAACTCAGCCCCCGTAATAGGGTCAGAGACAGAGAATCCCAGTGGAGAGACAGCAAGTGTAGTTTGTTGCTCCAGTGCCTTTCCGTTCACCTTCGCACCCCTGGGCCAGACTACACTCAATCATAGGACCTACTGAAGAGATGAGTCTTCAGTAAAGACTTAAAGGTCGAGACCGAGTCTGCGTCTCTCACATGGATAGGCAGACCATTCCATCAAAATGGAGCTCTATAGGAGAAAGCCCTGCCTCCAGCTGTTGGCTTAGAAATTCTAGGGACAATAAGGAGGCCTGCGTCTTGTGACCGTAGCGTACGTGTAGGTATGTACGGCAGGACCAAATCGGAGAGATAGGTAGGAGCAAGCCCATGTAATGTTTTGTAGGTTAGCAGTAAAACCTTGAAATCAGCCCTAGCCTTAACAGGAAGCCAGTGTAGAGGCTAGTACTGGGGTAATATGATCCAATTTTTTGGTTCTAGTCAAGATTCTAGCAGCCGTGTTTAGCACTAACTGAAGTTTATTTTTATGCTTTATCCAGGTAGCCGGAGAGTAGAGCATTGCAGTAGTCTAATCTAGAAGTGACAAAAGCATGGATTAGCTTTTCTGCATCATTTTTGGACAAAACGTTTCAGATTTTTGCAATGTTACGAAGATGGAAAAAAGCTGTCCTTCAAATATTCTTGATATGTTCGTCAAAAGAGAGATCAGGGTCCAGAGTAACGCCGAGGTCCTTCACTGTTTTTTTTGTTCAACCATCAAGATTAATTGTCAGATCCAACAGCAGATCTCTTTGTTTCTTGGGGCCTAGAACTAGCATCTCTTGTTTTGTCCGAGTTGAAAAGGAAAACAAATTCAGCCATCCACTTCCTTATGTCTGAAACACAGGCTTCCAGGGTAGGCCATTTTGGGGCTTCACCATGTTTCATCGAAATGTACAGCTGTGTGTCGTCCGCATAGCAATGAAAGTTAACATTGTGTTTCCGAATGACATCACCAAGAGGTAGAATATATAGTGAAAACAATAGTGGTCCTAAAACGGAACCTTGAGGAACACCGAAACGTACAATTGATTTGTCAGAAGACAAACCATCCACAGAGACGAACTGATATCTTTCCGACAGATAAGATCTAAACCAGGCAAGAACTTGTCCGTGTAGACCAATTAGGGTTTCCAATCTCTGCAAAAGAATGTGGTGATCGATGGCGTCAAAGCAGCACTAAGGTCTAGGAGCACGAGGACAGATGCAGAGCCTTGGTTTGACGCCATTAAAAGGTAATTTACCATCTTCAAGAGTGCAGTCTCAGTGCTATAATCGGGTCTAAAACCAGACTGAAGCGTTTCATATACATTTTCTGTCTTCAGGAATGCAGTCAGTTGCTGCAGAACAGCTTTTTCCCAAAGAATTGAGAGGGATGGGAGATTCGATATAGGCCGATAGTTTTTTACATTTTCTGAGTCAAGGTTTTCTGAGTCAAGGTTTGGCTTTTTTAAGAGAGGCTTTATTACTGCCACTTTTAGTGAGTTTGGTTCACATCCAGTGGATAGGGAGCCATTTATCATGTTCAACATAGGAGGGCCAAGCACAGGAAGTAGATCTTTCAGTAGTTTAGTTGGAATAGGGTCCACTATGCAGCTTGAAGGTCTAGAGGCCATGACGATTTACATGAATGTGTCAAGAGATACAGGATTAAAACACTTGAGTGTCTCCATTGATCCTAGGACCTGGCAGTTCTGTGCAGACTCAGGACAACTGTGGTCCTCTGTAGCTCAGCTGGTAGAGCACGGCGCTTGTAGTGGGTTCGATCCCCGGGACCACCCATACACAAAAAATGTATGCACGCATGACTATAAGTCGCTTTGGATAAAAGCGTCTGCTAAATGGCATATTAACTGAGCTTTTGGAGAAATACGCAGATTCAAAAAGGAGTCCGTAATTTGCTTTCTAATTATCATGATCTTTTTGTCGAAGAAGTTCATGAATTCATAACTGCTGAAGTGAAAGGCATCCTCTCTTGTTGAATGTTGCTTTTTAGTTAGCTTTGCGACAGTATCAAATAGAAATGTTGGATTGTTCTTATTCTCCTCAATTAGGTTGGAAAAATGATCGAGCAGCAGTGAGCGCTCTTCGATATTGCTCTGTACTTTCTTTCCAAGCTAGTCGGAAGACTTCCAGTTTGGTGGAGCGCCATTTCAGTTCCAATTTTTCTGGAGGCTTGCGTCAGGGCTCAGGTATTTTCTGTATACCAGGGAGCTAGTTTCTGGTGACAAATGTTTTTTGTTTTTATGGGTGCGACTGCATCTAGGGTATTACGCAAGGTTCAATTTTAATCCTCAATTAGGACGTTAACTGATTTTTATACTCCGACGTCCTTGAGTAGGTGGAGGGAGTCTGGAAGGGCCTCTAGGAATCTTTGGGTTGTCCGAGAATTTATAGCACGGCTTTTGATCGTCCTTGGTTGGGGTCTGAGCAGATTATTTGTTGCGATAGCAAACGTAATAAGATGGTGGAGCGGTGCAGAGTGTGGTGGTGTGATTAATTGATTGATTAAACTATCCCTCTAGTGGTCGAGCGGTGCAGAGTGTGGTGGTGTGATTAATTGATTGATTAAACTATCCCTATAGTGGTCGAGCGGTGCAGAGTGTGGTGGTGTGATTAATTGATTGATTAAACTATCCCTATAGTGGTCGAGCGGTTCAGAGTGTGGTGGTGTGATTAATTGATTGATTAAACTATCCCTCTAGTGGTCGAGCGGTTCAGAGTGTGGTGGTGTGATTAATTGATTGATTAAACTATCCCTATAGTGGTCGAGCGGTTCAGAGTGTGGTGGTGTGATTCATTGATTGATTAAACTATCCCTCTAGTGGTCGAGCGGTTCAGAGTGTGGTGGTGTGATTCATTTATTGATTAAACTATCCCTATAGTGGTGGAGCGGTGCAGAGTGTGGTGGTGTGATTAATTGATTGATTAAACTATCCCTCTAGTGGTGGAGCGGTGCAGAGTGTGGTGGTGTGATTAATTGATTGATTAAACTATCCCCCCTCTAGTGGTCGAGCGGTTCAGAGTGTGGTGGTGTGATTAATTGATTGATTAAACTATCCCCTCTAGTGGTCGAGCGGTTCAGAGTGTGGTGGTGTGATTAATTGATTGATTAAACTATCCCTCTAGTGGTCGAGCGGTTCAGAGTGTGGTGGTGTTTAAGACCTCTGGAGCGTTGGCCTGGCTGGGAGTGTCAGGGGCGGACTCTCTGCTGGAACGCACCGGATTGGCCCAGGCTGTCAGGGAGGGGCGGAGCTTCAGAGGATCAAAGGTTACGAACATCACCGTGGGAGGTGAGTAAAGGGGGTCAGTGGGTATGGCAGGGGTTTGTTTTAGCCCAGCACTAATACCCCTCAACTAATGAGCTGCTCATCAAAGCCTTGCTGGGTATAATTGGGTGTGTTAGTACTGGGTTGCAATCAAAGCCTGCTCGGTGGGAGCTCTCCAGAACCTTATAGTTCAACTGTTGAAACTGGGCTGCAACCAAAGCCTGCTCTGTGGGAGCTCTCCAGAACCTCAGAGTTCAACTGTTGAAACTGGGCTGCAACCAAAGCCTGCTCTGTGGGAGCTCTCCAGAACCTCAGAGTTTCAACTGTTGAAACTGGGCTGCAACCAAAGCCTGCTCTGTGGGAGCTCTCCAGAACCTCAGAGTTCAACTGTTGAAACTGGGCTGCAACCAAAGCCTGCTCTGTGGGAGCTCTCCAGAACCTCAGAGTTCAACTGTTGAAACTGGGCTGCAACCAAAGCCTGCTCGGTGGGAGCTCTCCAGAACCTCAGAGTTCAACTGTTGAAACTGGGCTGCAACCAAAGCCTGCTCTGTGGGAGCTCTCCAGAACCTCAGAGTTCAACTATTAAATGCCGTTAGCTTTTCGTTCAACACTTTCTGTTTCAGATCTCTCTCTTCTTCTCTCCCCCTCTCTCCTCCCCCTCTCCCCCCTCTCTCCTTCCCCCTCTTCTCTCTCCTACTCCCCCCCTCTCTCCTCCCCCTCTCTCCTCCCCCCTCTCTCCTCCCCCCTCTTCTCTCTCCTACTCCCCCCTCTCCCCCTCTCTCCCCCCTCTCTCCTCCCCCCTCTTCTCTCTCCTACTCCCCCCCTCTCCCCCCCCCCCCCCCCCCCCTCTTCTCTCTCCTACTCCCCACAGGTCTGCAGGAGGACGTGTGTTTGTGGTTGTTCCGATGCTCTGCAGGGTTTGAGTGTGTGTCCGGGCCGAGTCACATGGCCATCTGTTCCTCAGTCTGTCACACTGACTACTGTCACAACCACGGCATCTGTACCCACCACCCACACCAACCACCCCTCTGCCAGTAAGAACACAACCACGGCATCTGTACCACAAAACATGATAATAAATGTATTTAGTCTCCAGGTGCCCTGTCTCTCTCTCTCATCTCCGGGCGTCCCTGTTTCTCTCTCTCCCTCCTGGTCCTGTCTCTCTCTCTCTCACTGGCGTCCTGTCTCTCTCTCTCCCAGGTGCCCTGTCCTCTCTCTCTCTCCGTGTCTGTCTCTCTCTTCATCTCCTGCGTCCTGTCTCTCTCTCTCCAGGTGTCCGGTCCTCTCTCTCATCTCCTGGCGTCCTGTCTCTCTCTCTCCAGGTGCCCTGTCTCTCTCTCTCCTCCAGGTGCCCTGTCTCTCTCTCTCTCCAGGTGTCCTGTCTCTCTCTCATCTCCTGGCGTCCTGTCTCTTCTCTCTCCAGGTGTCCTGTCTCTCTCCTCATCTCCTGGCGTCCTGTCTCTCTCTCTCCAGGTGTCGCTTGTCTCTCTCTCCTCTCTCCCGGTGTCCTGTCTCTCCCTCTCTCTCCAGGTGCCCTGTCTCTCTCTCTCTCCAGGTGTCCTGTCTCTCTCTCTCCAGGTGTTCTCTCTCTCTCCAGGTGCCCTGTCTCTCTCTCTCTCCTGGCGTCCTGTCTCTCTCTCTCTCCAGGTGCCCTGTCTCTCTCTCTCTCCAGGTGTACTGTCTCTCTCTCTCCAGTTCCTCTCACTCTCTCCTCCAGGTGCCCTGTCCTTTCTCTCTCTCCGGGGCGTCCCTGTCTTCTCTCTCTCTCCAGTGGGCCCTGGACTCTCTCTCTCACCATTCTCCAGGTGCGCTGGTCCTCTCTCTCTCCAGGTGTCCTGTCTCTCTCTCTCTCCAGGTGCCCTGTCTCTCTCTCTCCAGGTGTCCCTGTCTCTCTCTCTCTCCAGGTGCCCTGTCTCTCTCTCTCCAGGTGTCCTGTCTCTCTCTCATCTCCTGGCGTCCTGTCTCTCTCTCTCCAGGTGTCCTGTCTCTCTCTCTCTCCAGGTGCCCGTCCTCTCTCTTCGCTCTCTCAGGGTGCCCTGTCTCCTCTCTCCTCCAGTCCCTGTCCTCTTCGCTATCGCTCGCAGGTGTTCCCTTTCTCTCTCTCTCTCCTGGCGTCCTGTCTCTCTCTCTCCAGGTGCCCTGTCTCTCTCTCATCTCCTGGCGTCCTGTCTCTCTCATCTCCTGGCGTCCCCCTGTCTCTCTCTCTCCAGTGCCTGTCTCCTCTCAAATCTCCTGGCGGGTCCTGCTCTCTCTTCCCGTGTCCCTGTCTCTCTCTCTCTTCCAATGGTGTCCGTCCTCTCTCTCTGCCAGGTTTCCTGTCTCTCTCCTCTCCTGGCGTCCTGGTCTCCTCTCTCTCCAGGTGCCGGTCTCTCTCTCATCTCCTGCCCGTCCTGTCTCTTCTCTCTCATCCCTGCGTCCTGTCTCTCTCTCCTCCAGGTGCCCTGTCTCTCTCTTCCTCTCATCTCCTGGCGTCCTGTCTCTCTCCCGTCTCCAGTTGCCCTGTCTCTCTCATCTCTCATCTCCTGGCGTCCTTTCTCTCTCTCTCCAGGTGCCCTGTCTCTCTCTCTCATCTCCAGGTGCCCTGTCTTCCTCTCATCTCCTGGCGTCCTGTCCTCTCCTCGCTCCTCAAGGTTGTCCTTCTCTCTCTCCTCATCTCCAGGGGTCCTGTCTCTCTCATCTCCTGTCGTCCTGTTCTCTTCCTCCAGGGTCCCTTTGTCATCTCTCTCTCATCTCCGGTGTCCGTCTCGTCTCATCTCCTGGCAGTCCGTTCTCTCTCTCCTTCTCTCTCCCCCATGCTCCAGGTGTCCCTGTCTCCTCATCTCCTGCGTCCTGTCTCTCTCTCTCTCCAGGTGCCCTGTCTCTCTCTCTCTTCTCTCCAGGTGCCCTGCTCTCTCTCATCTCCTGGCGTCCTGTCTCTCTCTCTCCAGGTGCCCTGTCTCTCTCTCTCCTCTCCAGGTGCCCTGTCTCTCTCATCTCCTGGCGTCCTGTCTCTCTCTCTCCAGGTGCCCTGTCTCTTCTCTCTCTCATCTCCAGGTGCCCTGTCTCTCTCTCTCCAGGTGCCCTGTCGGGGATAATTTCTGGTTCATGGGTCGTCGTTGTGACGTGAGGATGTCGCAGCAGCGGCTGGTGGGGGCGTGTCTTGGCGTACTGGTCACCATAGTAACACTGATTGGCGTCATGGCCTGGCTGGTGGTGCGACGATACAGAGCCATGTTGATAAAGGCTAAAGTAGACCAGACACGCAGCAGGTAACCACACACACACACAGAGCCATGTTAGAAAGGCTAAGTAACCAGAACGCAGGGGCAGGTAACCACCCACACCACAAACACATAGCCATGGTTATAAGGCTAAGTAGCCAACACGCAGCAGTAACCAACCACTACACCACACACAGAGCCATGTTGATAAAGGCTAAAGTAGACCAGACACGCAGCAGGTAACCACACAACACACACAGAGCCATGTTGATAAAGGCAAAGTAGACGCTACCGCGCAGGTTACCAACGACACCACACCAGAGCCATGCTTGATCAAGGCTAAAGTAGACCAGACACGCAGCAGGTAACCACACACACACACACACCGGCACATGTTGCTAAGGATAAAGTAGACCAGACACGCAGCCGTAACCACACAGCACACACATAGCCATGTTGAATAAAGCTAAAGGTATACCATACACGCAGCGGTAACCACACACACACCCAACAGAGCCATTTTGATACAGGCTAAAGTAGACCAGACACCAGCAGGTAACCACACACACACACACACACAGAGCCATGTTGATAAAGGCTAAAGTAGACCAGACACGCAGCAGGTAACCACACACACACCACACACACGAGCCATGTTGATAAAGGCTAAATTAGAACCAACACCGCAGGTAACCACACCACCCACCAGCCCTGTTGATTAAAGGCTAAAGTGACCAGAACACACGCAGCCGGTAACCACACACCACCACACACCAGAGCCCAGTTGTAAGGCTAAGTAGACCATACCCGCCTCCGGTAACTCACACACACACACACACACAGAGCCATGTTGATAAAGGCTAAAGTAGACCAGACACGCAGCAGGTAACCACACACACACACACACACAGAGCCATGTTGATAAAGGCTAAAGTAGACCAGACACGCAGCAGGTTACCACACACACACACACACACAGAGCCATGTTGATAAAGGCTAAAGTAGACCAGACACGCAGCAGGTAACCACACACACACACACACACACACACACACACACACACCCAACACACACACACAGAGCCATGTTGATAAAGGCTAAAGTAGACCAGACACGCAGCAGGTAACCACACACACACACACACACATCACACACATCACACACAACGAAAAAAAAAAAAAAAACAAACCACACAGAGCCATGTTGAATAAAGCTAAGTAGACCAACCACGAGCAGGTAACCACACACCACACACAGAGCCATGTTGATAAAGGCTAAAGTAGACCAGACACGCAGCAGGTAACCCCACACACACACACACACAGAGCCATGTTGATAAAGGCTAAAGTAGACCAGACACGCAGCAGGTAACCACACACACACCACACACGAGCCATGTTGATAAAGGCTAAAGTAGACCAGACACGCAGCAGGTAACCACACACACACACAGAGCCATGTTGATAAAGGCTAAAGTAGACCAGACACGCAGCAGGTAACCACACACACACACACACACACACCACAACACCACACACCACAACCCACAGACCACACACACACACATACAACACACACACAGACACACACACCACACACACACACACACACACACACACACAACACACACCACACCCACCACCACACACACACCTACCACACCACACACACACACACCACACACAGCCCACACCCTATTATTACTCTCTTTTCACTATCGTTATATGAGTAATACCAAGGCGCAGCGTTATGACCTAACATATTTTAATTTATATAATAATTCACGAACAAAACAAACAAAACGAAAACGTGACTCCTACTTTAAAACACAACCCAACCTGAACAAGATCCCACAAAACCCTAAGGGAAACAGACTGTTTAAATATGGCTTCTCCACCAATCAAAGACAACCAGCACAGCTGACACTCGTTTGCTCTGATTTGGGGCCACTCTGTTCTGGCCAACATAGAATCACATCTAGAACTCCCACATAGAACTAAAACAATAGAATCTACACACCCTGGCTCAGCATATAGAGTCCCCAGAGCCAGGGTGTGACACTCTATGTGTTGGTATTGAGGGAGTGGAGTAGGGAAAACAGAGAGGGACCAGGACATGGGTGAAAGGGACCTAAACTGGTCTAGTTTTTAATATATGACCTTATAAATAATAACGTTACTATAGAAACATCTCTACTCACACTCCCTGTCTCTCTCTGTGTATTATAAATACATCCCTTTTCCGGTTCAACTGGCTGGAACTGCAGCTCTCTCTGCGGCTGATCCCACTACCACAGGTTACAACGTTACTATAGAAACACCTCTACTCACACTCCCTGTTTCCTGGCATCGCATCCCTTCCTGTCCACCCACCCTGACTTCCTGTTTCTGGTGTGAAAACACGGGCATCTCCCTCCCGAGAGAGGGAGTGTTTGTTTTCGATAGATATCACAGGTTTATGGACCTGTGTGTGTGTCTGTGTGTGTGTGTGTGTGTGTGTCTATGTGTGTGTGTGTGTGTGTCTGTGTGTGTGTGGTGTGTCTATGTGTGTGTCTGTGTGTGTGTCTGTGTGTGTGTCTGGTGTTTTTTTGTTTCCATTTTTTTTGTTTGTTGTCTGCGTGTGTGTATGTCTGTTGTGTTTGGTGTGTCTGTGGTGGTGTGGTGTCGTGTGTTTGTTTGTGTGGTGTCTATGTGTGTGTGTGTAGGTCTGTGGTGTGTCGGTGTGTGTGTCTGTGTGTGTGTCTGTGTGTGTGTGTATCTATGTGTGGGTGGTTGTCTGTGTGTGTGTGTGTGTGTGTGTGCGGTGTGTGTCTTGTGTGTGTGTGTGTCTGTGTGTTGTCTATGTGTGTGTGTCTGTGTGTGTGTGTGTGTGTGTGTGTGTGTGTGTGGTGTGTGTGTGTGTGGGTTGTGTGTCTGTGGGTTGTGTGTGTGTTGTGTTCTGTGTGTGTCTATGTGTGGTGTCTATGTGTGTGTGTGCTCTGGTGTTCTGTGTTGTGGTGGCTTGTGTCTTGTGTGTGTTTGTCTGGTGTTATGTTGTGTGTGGGTTTGTGTGTGTATGTCTGTGTGGTGTTTGTGTTTGTTTGGTTTGTGGTGTTTGTCTGTTTTTGTGTTTCCTGTTGTGTTTGTTTCTGTGGTGTGTTTTTTTGTTTTTTTTTTTGTTCTTTTTTTTTCCTGTTTTTTTTGTTTTGTTTGTGTCGAGTGGTTTTTTTTTTGTATTTTGTTTTGTTTGTTTGGTTTTTGTGGTGTCGTGGTGTACCCTGTGTGTTTGTTTTTGTTTAGTTTTTATTTCTGTGTTTTGTGTTTTTTTTTTTCTTTTTGTTTTTTGTTATTTCTTTTTGTTTTGTGTTTGTTTGTTTTTTTTTTTTTTTTTGTGTTTTATTTTTTTTTTTCTTCTGTTTTTTTGTTTTTCGTTTTTTTTTTTGTTTTTTTTTCTTTTTTGGTTTGTTTTTTTTTTTTTTTGTTTCTTTTTGTTTTTTTTTGTTCCTTGTTATTTTTTTTTTTTTATCTTTTTTTTTTTGTTTTAGGTTTCTTTCTTTTTGTGTGTGGTTTTGTGTTTTTTTCTTTTTTTTTTTTTTTTTTTTTTTAGTCGTTTTTTTTTTTTTTTTTTTTTTTTTTTTGTCTTTTTTTGTTTTTTTTGTGTGTCTGTGTGTGTGTGTTGTGTGTAGCTACCCGTAGTGCTCAACCATTTGACGACTCCTGGTCGTTTCTGGGGGCGGTCCATCAATGGATCAGCTGACTCGCTGGATAACCCCGCCTTCACCCGCTCCGACGAATTACTACACCTGAGGGCGCTCGACCGCACCTGCTGTTACCAAAGAGAGGGACGACGGACAGCCGCTGGTCCCCTGTGGCTTCCCCCTGCCCAAGCAATGGCAACACACGCTGCCATCCACACCCGTCTACACCCACGGGTTTGTGACACACCACACCCAGAGAAAGAGGCCCACACGACGTAGCGAACCACACCTGCTGTTCCGACTACGACACGCGTGTTCCCTGGCCTCCACCTGTCCCGACGGAATGAACACCACCTAACCACGGGCGGTCTACACACACGGGTTGGTGACATGGTCAACACCCCACATATAAAACACACACCACACAGACACACCTTGCGTTTTACCCACCGCCCACGACGACAACGCTGATCCCTGGGCTCCACCTGCCCGAGCAATGGAACACACCTCAACACCGTCTAACACAGCGGTGGTTGGTGACACCACACACACAGAGAAAACACACACACACACACACACACCTGCTGTTACCGGGGGGGAGAAAACAGGGACTACGACACGCTGTCCCTGGGCTCCACCTGCCCGAGCAATGGAACACACCTCAACACCGTCTACACACACGGGTTGGTGACACACACACACACAGAGAAAACACACACACACACACACACACCTGCTGTTACCACGACGACACGCTGTCCCTGGGCTCCACCTGCCCGAGCAATGGAACACACCTCAACACCGTCTACACACACAGGGTTGGTGACACACACACACACAGAGAAAACACACACACACACACACACCTGCTGTTACCACGACGACACGCTGTCCCTGGGCTCCACCTGCCCGAGCAATGGAACACACCCAACACACGTCTACACACCACGGGTTTGTGACCACACACACACACAGAGAAAACACACACACACACACACACACACAGCGAAAACCACACACCACCACCGAGCACACACCCCCACACAACACACCGGCAACACACTCACACACACAGAGATAAACACACACACACACAGAGAAAACACACCACCGAGAAAACCACACACACACACACAAGAAAAACACAACACACAGAAAACACCACACACACAAGAAACACACACACATTAACAGAACACACCAAAACACACACACAGAAAACAAAAACACACACACACAACAGAGAAAAACACACACACACACATAAAAACACACACACACACAGAAAACCAAACACAACACACACACAACAGAGAAAAACACACACAAGAGAAAACACACACACACACAGAGAAAACACACACACACACAGAAAAACACAACACACACACATAGAAAAAACACACACCACACAAGAAAACCACACAACAAAAACACAACGAAACACACACACACACAGAAAACACACACACACAAGAGAAAACACACACACACACAGAGAAAACACACACACACACAGAGAAAACACACACACACACACAGAGAAAACACACACACACCACACAGAGAAAAACACCACACACACACAGAGAAAACCACACACACACACATAGAACACACCCCACACACACAGAGAAAACACACACAACACACGAAAACCACACACAGAAAACACACACACACACACAGAAAAACCACACACAAAACACACACACACACAGATAAAACACACACACACAAAAGAAACACACACAACACACAAGAAAAAACACACACACACCATAGAAAACACACCCACACCAAAACACCACACACACAAGAAAAAACACCCACACACACACAATAAAACACACACACACACAGAGAAAACACACACACACACAGAGAAAAACACACACACCACACAGAGAAAACACACACACACACACACAGAGAAAACACACACACACACACAGAGAAAACACACACACACACACAGAGAAAACACACACACACACACAGAGAAAAAAACACAAACACACACACAGAGAAAACAAACACACACACAGAGAAAACACACACACACACACACAGAAGAAAACACACACACACACACAGAGAAAAGACACACACACAGAGAGAAAACACACACATACTGTAATACCAGATGTACGAGATAAATGGATTCCAAAAACGAAGTAAAGGGTTGTCATGGTTACTCCCCCCCCCCCCCCCCTCTCCCCTCCAGCTCCCAGTACGGCTGGGAGGTCAGCGAGGTCAGCCTGGCGGAGTGTGTGGTGGATTCTGGGAAAGCCAGTGACCTGTCAGTCTGCAGCTGGCCGATAGAACCCATCCAGTGGACCCCCTTCCCCCTGCTGAAGCAACTATCCTCCTCACACAGAACCACCCCGGTACCTAGAGATTACAACCTGGGAGGGCTGGAGGGAGGGAGGGGGGAGGGAGGGAAGAGGATGGAGGGTGAGGGCGGCGAGGCAGGGGGAGGGAGGGGAGGGGAGGGGATGGTGAGGCGGAGGGAGGGAAGGGAGGGAGGAGGGGGAGGGAGGGAGGGGGGGAGGGAGGGAGGAGGGCTGGAGAACAGAGACAGATGCCGGAAGGGAGCGAGAGAGAGAGAGAGATGGTAAATTGATGTTTCTTTGTTTGTCCAGGTGAGGGCGCCGCGTCCTCGCTCCTACTGTGAAGGCATGGAACTGGTGGAAGTAGAAAAGAGCTGGACGGCCTAGCAACCACGGAACCATTTATTGGAGTCAGTCAGCCTAGCAACCACGGAACCATTTATTGGAGTCAGTCGGCCTAGCAACCACGGAACCATTTATTGGAGTCAGTCGTGAGGAAAAGTTGAACAACTGAATCACTGAATAAACTGTATCACTGAGTCAATGGTATCACTGACTCTCATTGGCTGTCTGGAACTTAACTCTGACTCTCATTGGCTGTCTGGAACGTAACTCTGATTCTGTAGTCCTGTCCATGAGTATACTGAAGAAAAGGGTGGTGGAGAGGGGAGAGAGAGAAATACATGTATTCTGTTTTGTTATTGGAGTCAGTCGTGTCCATGAGTATACTGAGGAAAGGTGTGAGAGAGAGAGAGAGAGAGAGAGAGAGAGAGAGAGAGAAATACATTTATTCTGTTTTGTTATTGGAGTCAGTCGTGTCCATGAGTATACTGAGGAAAGGTGTGAGAGAGAGAGAGAGAGAGAAATACATTTATTCTGTTTTGTTATTGGAGTTTGTCGTGTCCATGAGTATATTGAGGAAAGGTGTGAGAGAGAGAGAGAGAAAAACATGTATTCTGTTTTGTTATTGGAGTCAGTCGTGTCCATGAGTATTCAACCAGGCTTGAAGTTATTGACATTTCCCCTCTGGCTGTGGTCCTGAAGCTAGGGGCTATGAGAGAAGGGGCCCTAGCAAAGATTCAACATCTTCTTGCAAATGTGCGTTTAATCCCACAGAAAGTTGTGAGAGAAATGAATAAATAAAACTGTTCCCAAGTGGTGGGGAGAAAGTGGCTATGGTTAAACACACGGCATCACACGTGGCGTTGTCTTCCTGAGCCAATGGGAGGAGGGGGGGGGGGGTGTCCCGAATGTTGAGTGGATTTACACTGCTACCAGACTGACGTATCAGTTAGGGAGTTAGCTACCAGACTGACGTATCAGTTAGGGAGGTTTGTACCAGACGGTAATCAGTTAGGGGAGTTGCCACCCGACTGACGTATCAGTTAGGGAGTTAGTACCAGACTGAAGATCAGTTAGGGAGTAGCTACCAGACTGAGTATCAGTTAGGGAGTTAGTACCAGACTGACGTATCAGTTAGGGAGTTAGCTACCAGACTGACGTATCAGTTAGGGAGTTAGCCACCAGACTGACGTATCAGTTAGGGAGTTAGCTACCAGACTGACGTATCAGTTAGGGAGTTAGCTACCAGACTGACGTATCAGTTAGGGAGTTAGCCACCAGACTGACGTATCAGTTAGGGAGTTAGCCACCAGACTGACGTATCAGTTAGGGGGTTAGCTACAGAACGATCAAGTAGGAGTAAACCCGATGAGTATCAGTTAGGGTTGTAGCTACCAGACTGAGATCAGTTGGGAGTAGCCCCAGGGCTGACGTATCAGTTTGGGAGGGTTTGCTACCAAAACTGACGTATCAGTTAGGGAGTTAGCCACCAGACTGACGTATCAGTTAGGGAGTTAGCTACCAGACTGACGTATCAGTTAGGGAGTTAGCTACCAGACTGACGTATCAGTTAGGGAGTTAGCTACCAGACCCGACGTATCGTTTGGGTTAGTACAGACTGAGATCAGTTAGGAGTTAGCACCAGACTGACGTATCAGTTAGGGAGTAGCTACCAGACTGACGTAAACGTTAGGGAGTTAGCCCCAGACTGAAGTATCAGTTAGGGAGTTAGCCACCAGACTGACGTATCAGTAGGGATTTGCTACCAGACTGACGTATCAGTTAGGGAGTTAGCTACCAGATGACGTTTAGTTAGGGAGTTAGCTTTCCAGACTGACGTATCAGTTAGGGAGTTAGCTACCAGAGACGTACAGTTAGGGGTTAGCCCACCAGACTGAAGTATCAGTAGGGAGTTAGCTACCAGACTGACGTATCAGTTAGGGAGTTAGCTACAAGACTGACGTATCAGTTAGGGAGTTAGCTACCAGACTGACGTATCAGTTAGGGAGTTAGCTACCAGACTGACGTATCAGTTAGGGAGTTAGCTACCAGACTGACGTATCAGTTAGGGGTTAGCTACCAGACTGACGTATCAGTTAGGGGGTTACCACCAGACAGTATCAGTTAGGGAGTTAGCCACCAGACTGACGTATCAGTTAGGGGTACACAGCTGACGATCAGTTAGGAGTTAGCTACCAGACTGACGTATCAGTTTGGGAGTTAGCCACCAGACTGAGTATCAGTTAGGGAGTTTGCTACCAGAATGACGTATCAGTTAGGGAGTTAGCTACCAGACTGACGTATCAGTTAGGGAGTTAGTACCAGACTGACGTATCAGTTAGGGAGTTAGCTACCAGACTGAGTATCAGTTAGGGAGTAGTACCAGACTGATATCAGTTAGGGGTTAGCTACCAGACGACGTATCAGTTAGGGAGTAGCTACCAGACTGACGTTCAGTTAGGGGGGTTAGCTAAACCCGACGAGTATCAGTTAGGGAGTTAGTCCCCGACTGACGTATCAGTTAGGGAGTTAGCTACCAGACTGACGTATCAGTTAGGGAGTTAGGGACCAGATGACGTATCAAATTAGGGAGTTAGCTAAACCCGACTGACGTATCAGTAGGGAGTTAGCCACCAGACTGAAGTATCAGTTAGGGGAGTTAGCTACCAAGACGTATCAGTTAGGGGGTTTGCTACCAGACTGACGTATCAGTTAGGGAGTTTGCTACCAGACTGACGTATCAGTTAGGGGGGTTAAACACCAGACGACGTATCAGTTAGGGAGGTAGCCACCAGACTTGAAGTATCAGTTAGGGAGTTAGCACCAGACTGAGTATCAGTTTGGGGAGTTAGCTACCGGACTGACGTATCAGTTAGGGAGTTAGCACCAGACTGACGTTTAGTTGGGAGTTAGCCACCAGACTGACGTATCAGTTAGGGAGTTAGCTACCAGACTGACGTATCAGTTAGGGAGTTAGCTACCAGACTGACGTATCAGTTAGGGAGTTAGCTACCAGACTGACGTATCAGTTAGGGAGTTAGCTACCAGACTGACGTATCAGTTAGGGAAGTTAGCACCAGACTGACGTATCAGTTAGGGAGTTTGTACCAGACTGACGACAGTTAGGGAGTTAGCTACCAGACGAAGTATCAGTTAGGGAGTTAGCTACCAGACTGACGTATCAGTTGGGAGTTAGCCAACAGGACTGACGTATCAGTAGGGGTTAGCACCAGACTGACGTACAGTTTGGGAGTAGCTACCAGACTGACGTATCAGTTAGGGAGTTAGCTACCAGACTGACGTATCAGTTAGGGAGTTAGCTACCAGACTGACGTATCAGTTAGGGAGTTAGTACCAGGGCTGAGATCAGTTGGGGGGTTAGCTACCAGGGCTGACGATCAGTTAGGGAGTTAGCTACCCGACTGACGATCAGTTAGGGAGTTAGCTACCAGACTGACGTATCAGTTAGGGAGTTTGCTACCAGACTGACGATCAGTTAGGGAGTTAGCTACCAGACTGACGTATCAGTTAGGGGTTAGCACCAGACTGACGTATCCAGTTAGGGGTTAGCTACCAGACTGACGTATCAGTTAGGGAGTTAGCTACCAGACGACGTATCAGTTAGGGAGGGTTTGCTACCAGATGACGTATCAGTTAGGGAGTTAGCTACCAGACTGACGTATCAGTTAGGGGGTTAGCACCAGACTGACGTATCAGTTAGGGGTGCTACCAGACTGACGTATCAGTTAGGGAGTTAGCTACCAGACTGACGTATCAGTTAGGGAGGTTTGCTACCAGACTGACGTATCAGTAGGGAGTTAGCACCAGACTGACGTATCAGTTAGGGAGTTAGTACCAGCTGACGTATCAGTTAGGGAGTTAGCTACCAGACTGACGTATCAGTTAGGGAGTTAGCTACAGACTGAACGTATCAGTTAGGGAGTTAGCTACCAGACTGGAGTATCAGGTTAGGGAGGTTAGCTACCCGACTGACGTATCAGTTAGGGAGTTTGCTACCAGACTGAGTATCAGTAGGGAGTTAGCACCAGACTGACGTATCAGTTAGGGAGTTAGCCCAGACGGACGTATCAGTTAGGGAGTTAGCCACCAGACTGACGATCAGTTAGGGAGTTAGCCACCAGGGCTGACGTATCAGTTAGGGAGTTAGCCACCAGGGCTGACGTATCAGTTTGGGAGTTAGCCACCAGACGACGTATCAGTTAGGGAGTTAGCCACCAGGAATGACGTATCAGTTAGGGGTTAGCTACCAGACTGACGTATCAGTTAGGGAGTTAGCCACCAGACTGAGTATCAGTTAGGGAGTTGCTACCAGATGAGTATCAGTTAGGGAGTTTGCTACCAGGGGCTGACGTATCAGTTAGGGAGTAGCCACCAGATGACGTATCAGTTAGGGAGTTAGCTACCAGACTGACGTATCAGTTAGGGAGTTAGCTACCAGACTGACGTATCAGTTAGGGAGTTAGCTACCAGACTGACGTATCAGTTAGGGAGTTAGCCACCAGACTGACGTATCAGTTAGGGAGTTAGCCACCAGACTGACGTATCAGTTAGGGAGTTAGCTACCAGACTGACGTATCAGTTAGGGAGTTAGCCACCAGACTGACGTATCAGTTAGGGAGGGTTAGCCACCAGACTGACGTATCAGTTGGAGTACACCAGATGGATCAGTTGGGAGTAGCTACCAGACTGACGTATCAGTTAGGGAGAGGCTACCAGACTGACGTATCAGTTAGGGAGTTAGCTACCAGACTGACGTATCAGTTAGGGAGTAGCTCCCGAAAGACGATCAGTTAGGGAGTTAGCACCAGGACTGACGTATCAGTAGGGAGTTAGCTACCAGAGACGTATCAGTTAGGGAGTTAGCTACCAGACTGACGTATCAGTTAGGGAGTTAGCTACCAGACTGAAATCAGGTTTGGGAGTTAGCTACCAGACTGACGGATCAGTTTTGGGAGAGAGCTACCAGACTGACGTATCAGTTAGGGAGTTAGCCACCAGACTGACGTATCAGTTAGGGAGTTAGCTACCAGACTGACGTATCAGTTAGGGAGTT